AAGATTGTATTTCATTTATTTTTTTATAAATTGAAATATACAACATCAATTAAAAAATTATAACTTTTATATAAATAAATGAAAAAAAATGTCATAATAATAACTCCTAAAATTAAAAAATATTTTTAAAAAATGTACAACATATAAGATACACATATATATTGTGCATAAATATATGCATTGTCTTTAACATATTTCATACATTCATATTTGCATGGCTAGTATATTTTTAATATGAAAATTACTTATTAGATTTTGTTATTTGCTGAGGATGCTTTGATTTTCTGTAATCTTCTGCTTTAGCAATAAACCATGGCTTCAAGAAGAAAAATCTTCCATTATCAGGAAATTCTTCAGTATAATTCACAACATCTTTAGCTGTTAGCTTCCATTGAAACTTGTACATACATTCATTATGATCTTTAGTAACAATTCTTTTGACATTATCTAAAAATATCTTGCAGAATTGTTTGCATGCTTTTATACTATAATTTTCCTGTGTAATATAATTAAACATATATAATTTTACATTAATATATCCTTAAATCATCTTGTACAATTTTTTAAACAAAATTACCTTTGAAAGATATGGCAAATCATGTAGAGAATACTCAATTATCTTTCTTACTTTTTTTTTGTGTCTTTTAATCCAAATATAATTTTATTTGTCTTCACCAAATAATTTTGACTCCACCACATTGATACTCTTTCACAGGAAATTTTACGATACATATTTGTATTATACATTGGATATGTTTTCAACTCAATTAGTTCAAATCTTTTGTTAACAAGTGTATCTTCTATAGGCTGTTGCGAAGAAATTCCATCTATTTCAGCCCCATATAATAACGAATACGTGTCAAATTTTGCTTTATACATACAATAGAATTCTTCGCACTCGTTAAGCGAAAGGTCTGGATTTGGAACGTGTAATGGATGATCTAAAAAATACACATTATTTAATTAAATTAATTATACAAATTCAATGAGCAATCCCATTTTGTCTTTCATATATCTAAAGTAAAAACAATATATCGAATTGTCATATTGGCTGCGTTCAGCAGACTCAACAGTATTGCAACCGTTTTATGATTCTCTGCGCTGATTAGATCATACTTTTAGATCTAGAAGAATGGTCCTATCTCTAGTTGAAATACCTGCAAGCATATATTGCTCAAATTTAAATCCCCATGAAGTCGCTCGTTTTTCGTAATCTAATGCAATGAGGTGGATTTGTTCTTCTTCGTCTGTATAAAACTTGCATAAATATATTGTACCGCGATATTTACTTGCGCATATAATCCATTCATTCCGTTCATTGTTAATATATGGGGTGGATAGTATTGTCTTTATTAATCCACGAGAACAAATAAAATCAAAATCCAACCTAGTCAATATTATTTCTAATTAGAATAAAGTGTAATAATATAAAATTAAAAAATAACTTTTTAAATTTAATGCATACAAGTGCACTATTTGCCTCGTCATTTGTAGCAATTTATAAACTGTAGGTATATATCTGCAAATAGCAGAATGATGTTAAAAGATAATCAAGGCTGGTAAAAACCAGATTTTTTTTATATTAAACTGAATCCAATGATCATAACCGGTTTTATCCAGTTTTGTTAAAAAAAATCATAGTAATTTTCCAAAAGACCTTCCCCTCTCCCCTCACTTTCAATTTCGATAAAATTATATTCATTCGAAGCATTTTTGCACAAAAACAAAGAATTTGACAGAAAAAAAATTTAAATATAGTTCTGCAGTTTGTCCAGCAAAACGGATGGATATTTTAGCTAAATGAAATAAAATAGATAATAATGGCCCTAAAAAAGCATTTTGCATTTTTTTTTTGTGAAATTTCTCTTTAGCTGCCTATCAATACAGAGAGAATTTTCTCTACATTTGGTCATATTTGAAGTAAGTTAAAAAATTCATTAGCTTCAGAAAAAATTGACAAATTAAGATTTTTAACAAAAATATTTTGAAAAATATTTTTATCTTATATACATATATTAATATAT